TAGGTAAGATTGATAATCTATATACAGTGTATAGACTTTGTGATAGAGTGACAGATACAGTGTGAAAAAAATACAGTGTATAGATTTACATGTACGTAACTTTGAATTTTATTTAGTATCAAAAGAAATACAGGCATTGAAATCCAGCTTCACTCTTGCACATACACGTTAAAACATTCTTTATATACACGATATTGTGAAATAATGTGTTATTAGTAATTTTCGACTAAATCCATGGTTAGAAGTGAATTATACGTCCCTATAAAGACAAAAGGATGGTGAATACAATTGATGCCATAAGTGTTGCTGATGTTGCGCTGCTGGCTTCAGATGTTGGTTTGTAAACTTCTTTACAAGTTTCCATACAATTACCCTGACATTTTTCTCGAGCAATCTCCGCGTTACACGAGTCAAGAGCTGTAAACATAGCAAAGCGTTCTGGCCAGTTAATTCTCACTACTACTTCTCGATAATAAGCACCAACACTGCCATTTACACATGGGTTTTTCATTGCTTCTGCTAAAAAGGTACGGCATTCTGAGGTACATCCTGTGAGCATTTTACAATTTTCGAAAACGCCCTTTAGAAAAGCGGCCGTTTCAGGATGCTCATTATCATTAAATGCCGTGGTATTACAGCCATTTATAACTATAACTTTATCTCCATAACTATATAAAGCGTTTTCGCTTATGTCTCGCCACTGGGTGCAGGTTGTCAGTTTGAGATTTTCCTTAGGGTGGTAGGTGAGAAATCCGAAACACATTTCGTCATTAGTTGCGTCACCTTTGTACACAGTTTTGTTCCTGTTCATAGAGGAAAACACACAAGTCGAGATTATTTCGTCCCCGGGTCTGAACTCGATAGGTGTTGGGAATCTACAATATAAAGAATGAATCTTTAGATCAATCTTATAGAGGTATCTACTCTGTGGGGAATTGACTTTTCTGTACGCCTGATGTAGTACCCCGGACATCCATCGCTTATACGAGGATCGTTCAATAAATAATGCAACATACAGTATATAATAATAAATATAGAAGTATTTGATTTTATTCTTATACAGTTGAAAATTTTTATTAAAGAGCTTCTAAATAAAGAAAACCCCATGATTTTTCCTACTGTCCTCGCAAATAAATTTACTTTTAAAGTAAGCATGGTCACTACACTGAGCTTAAACTGTTTAACAATGACCTCTGCCAAGAAGACAGAAATGAGAGCGTATGTGAAAACTGCTTCTTTACTAAAATCTCCGAAGAACTCATAGTAAAGATATGATTTTTATATGTGGAAAGAATAGCCTTTAACGCTGTGTAGCTAAAATATAGCAGTCAAACTGGTCGATTGAAATCTGTAGGGACACCAAAAAATATAGATGTTGTGTGCAACATGATATCTGAAAATGCCAGATTTACATTGAAAGACATTGCTAAGACACTAAACATTTCATCAATTCTACTAAAATTGTAAAATTCATGACTATAATTTACAATTAAATATCCAACAAAAACTGTGAAATAGTACTCCGATTAGGAGTATACATCATGGTAGAACTTAGATGGTCATAATTGAAATAAAAATCCATAAGGTCCTTTAAAAGTATTTGCGTGGTAATAATGATTAGTGATCTCTTTGTAAAGTATAAAATTTTTGCATTTGGGGATCAAGATTCAGGCCTTGGTTGGGTCGTAGTTTGTAATATATTGAAAATTCATACCTAGTCTCTATGTAATTCTTTTTTATTCATGGGCATCTTTGCATGGTTATAATAAGCAGTCAGTGCTCTTCCAAAATTGTGGAGTTCAGGTCATTCATAGATTATGTGAAGTCCGTTCAGTTGTTCTAACTGAATGGTTTAAGTTAACGATTACTAAATCACTCTGTAGAGCAAATTATTCAACTGGATTATAAATCCTTTCTTTTACACATATTTTACCCATAGAATTTCTTAGTAAGGGGTGTGCAATAACATTGTAAAAAGACACCTTTAAATATCAATGTAAATTTTCTTGTGGATTGCATTTTCTCTTTGCAAATCTTGCCTTAGTTTTGCATTGATATGTAATTTGGGTTTCTTTTTTTTCTTTTTCAAAAGAATTGAAAACACAGGTTTTCAGATTTACAACTATGGAAATGGGTGAAACTTAATTAAGATCATTTATTACAATCTAGTGTCACATTTCTGTTGTTCATTAAAATGTGACAGCACTTTTACGTCATAAGCCTTAGTTTAATAAAAAAAAATAAAAAATTATATTAATCTGGCAGACATATTTGCAAAATTATTTAAAAATCAACCTTATCAATTTCATATGCAGGTCATATTACACTTTATTATGAAGACATATAATATGTTATGTGGTAAATATCAATAGCCTATATCTGCGCTAAAGGATCTATGGTCTAGAGAGGCTTGCTTGCTAACAAGTCATTCCCCAATTCAAAGGTTTGGGTCATATTATCTTGCTGTCCCACCTGTTAAGCCTGTCAAACCTAGTTTAAAATATAAAAAAAATAGATTCCTGGGCACAATACTACTCATCTAGGTCGTAATTTCTTTTTCATAGCAAATTGACATAAAATCAAAATATATGAAAATCAGTATTGTGCTTATCAACTTATGATTTTAAAAACGCATGCATATGATTTTAACACTTTCATGATAATGTTTCTCTTAATTTTTCTATCAGATTCACAAATAGTAGTCTTTTACTATTCTGAATGTTTATTTCTGCGTGAACTTGGAGGAGTGATTTAAGTAAACTTGACAATGAGTGAGAATTGCATATAAACGACGAACACCCGGTTCTAGAAAGGAGTTTTATTTATATAATCCCATGTTGATTACCACTGTTGTTTTACAAACATGGGACAGCCACAGATTTTCAGAAGAATTAAGGCAATGAAGCGTTGAATACTACTGTCTTCTAAACTTTTATGTTAAAACAATATTGTGATACATACAGAAAGGAAGCAATCAATGTGAACGTAATTTGCTCTTTATAAATTAAGAAATGCCATTAAGTGGAAAATTGTCTTACGCGATAAGATATACCATTAAATGAAAAATTTCTCTTACTCGAATGTTTTTGGACTATCATAACTGTAGTCGGTTTCATAAGATAGGTCCCGCAATTTCTTTCCATCCCTGTAGTGTTCTAACTTCATTTCTCTTCCTGTAATACATATAACTCCAATAAAATGTAACAGTAGGAAAATATTTGCCTCGATGATATCTGTTTAAACGCTGATCTGGAAAATTTCCATGTTTGCAATTCATATTAAAAGTTTCACTCCAGAAAAAAAGATATTCAGTAAGTTTTTATTTTTTTATATATTTATTTTAAGCTCAGAAAAGAGTTAATATTAACGAGCGAAAGAACATCAATAAAAATTGATAGTAGGAAGAAAGATGAAAGTTTGAAAGTACTTAATGTGCAAATTAACATTGGTTAGTTATTTCACATGTCTATTAAAAGAAAAAGTTTGTATGAATTAAAGGATGCTGTGTTTTTGACAAAAAATGACGTCCCTTCCTAACTCTGTCAAACCCTTCTCATCTTTAGTAGACCTTGAAGATAAAACCGTGACGAATGTTTTTGCGCCAAAAACATGACGCACACTCAGGTCATCACCAACAACACGCAAGTTTTGATTCATTACAATGAAGGATTCCAAGTTATGGCTAAGATTTCAGTACCTTATCTCATTGCTCAATATGACATTATCTTTTGAGATGTAAACTAGATTCAGGGTCTTGGCACAGTTTTTTTCTTCTTTTTTTTGTTTTTGGTCAGAGACAAATACTAAAGTTTGAAAGCACTATAGTAAATGGTTTGAGATATACAGCTCGATTTTGTGATAGACAGATAAACAGATAAACTGACAAACAGACATGCCATAATAAAACTTCTTATAGGTAATTAACAAGGTGGATGTTCTGAGCAACTTTGATTTCTTAGCATATTAAAAAGTCATGTCTGACGTCCTACGGGATGTTAATTATTGGTTTTAGCTTGGTTGTCTTCTATCACAGAGTTGTTTTCGGGTCAAACCCCTCAAATCTCTCATTGGAATGTGTTCAAGCTTTACATGTATTACGTTCTTGCCTATGACATAAGAGCGTGTCATAATCTTGACTCAACATCATATGTCCAAGATCATAGTCAATACGTAATGAGAAAATGAAATGGTGTATGGACTATAATTCTTGAACCTCATAGATGTGTTATTATCTCGACTAAAGGTCAATATGAGTTCTCATAAGTTAATGTCATCTAGAAATGAAATGTTGAAAAAGTCTACCAGCCGTAAGTTTGAAACTGTTGTTCGAAATAAACAAGTATAATTATGATATATAATGTATGAAATAAAAAGAATACCCAGGTAGTGCATATGATTCAGTGCACGGGTAAAATAAACTGGTCCATTTACAATAAATCGTGAAGTGTCGGTATGGGAACAGTTCGCTGTCACCACAACTCGAGGAGAACGTGGGGGGATCCGAATGTAGTTCTGTCCAACCATCAAAATGCCTGCGTCATGGATTCTTCTTGTTTTTGTTAGGAATATGTACATGCCAGATCCGTCCATATAATCTGTCCTTTTCTCCGGATTATTCCAATGAACCTAAGGAAAGCAGTAATGTTTACATGTGCATTATAGTTGAGAGTGCAGTGATTTTTCAGCATGCAATAATAAGATATAAGCATCAGAAATAAATTATCACCAGCATTCTTGTTTTAAAAAATAAATGACAAGATGCGCATGGACCTTATTGCTCACCCGAGTGTCACTATTTTTTCTAAGCTTCATTATGTGTTCTTTTTCTCTTATCAATTTTATTTTCAAAGTTGAAAGATCTAACGCATTTCTCTTAAAGTCTAGTTCAGAGGAGGAATATGTAGACAAAATGAATGTAGATAAGAATGTTTTCATTAAAAAAAATGACATTGTGCAGCCTTTGTTTCTTGCAAGGTTTTCAATAAAAAATATCAAAACAAAAAATGAAATGAACGGATCATCTACCTCTTCGAAACTTTAATGTTTATTGCAAAATGACGATAACAAGAATTTTTATATTCTTATTCCAGTACTATTCCAGAATTAAGGGACTTGAGAGGGTCTTCCATATATCCTCTTGTCAAAAAAAAAAAAAAAAAAAAAAAAAAAAAAAAAAAGATTGGTCCATACATGTATTATATATTTATCAATCTAGAATATACATAACATAAACAAATCTACAATAAAATATAACAAACAAACAAAAACTCTTTTAGATACATGTGTAATAAAAAAAAACCCTGAAACTGTGTTGTTACCCAGTCCATATTCAAGAAACATTAAATTCTTTAATATGATTTTAATTTGTACTATTCTAAAGAAGATGAGTTTGTGTAAATTTAACAAATTTAAAGCCTTGTGGTTCTTTAGAAGATTATTAAAATATTTTCCCTATGCATTTTCAATAAAAAAAAATTGAATCCCCGCTTTGGTAAAATAGTTTCTGGAGGAGTCCCAAAATTTATGTGAACTGACGGAAATAACGGACGACGATGGGCAAAAAACAGAAAGTAGAAGGTCACCTGAGCCATTCAGGTTTACCTAAGAAAATATTTATTGAGAATATGAAGAAAGAAAAATTTTGATATAGGAAGAAGAGTAAAACTCGTACATCAAGTATTTCTAGAGATTTTATTTCTTACACAACTTGTTTCGTTATACGGTCTCTTTTTAATATAAAATGTTTTTGATACATGGTTGTTCCCCATTAATAGTAAAATAAAGTAAGATAAAAAAAAATTGACTTTTTTATATACTTGCACTGAGTGTCAGTGCAATGCAACTCATTACATGATTTAATAAACCTAAACCACATTTGAAATAGTGCTTGTATGGAAAATAACATACTATACTGATAACACATTCTTAGCTTGAATTTTCTCTCTGCATTTTATTACGTATCAATATCAAGAAATATTTTTACATTTCATACAAACATAAGCCCCATGAGTACCAGATTTATTTATAAACAAATTTTATTTCAAGAGTAAGGTACAAAAAAGGGATCCCTTTTCTACTGAATCGTGTATTTTCTTTTTTTTAAAAAATTTTCTCATAAATAATAATATAATTTTTGAAATTTGCAGCTTTGAATTTTTGTTGACTAACCCTGCCGTTTACTACTGTGGCAACAACAATTCACAGGGTTTAAATATGAGTAAAAGCATTTTATACTTTTAATGTTTTTACATTCATTCCTGATTGAATCACATTCTTCTTGTTGAAAGATAATCAACATAATTGAAAAAAAATGTCCAGTTGAAAGGGTTATATCATCAAAATATCTTTGATATAGGGATCAAATAATTAGATTTAAACATTTGACGCTAAAATACTTATATTTGCTCTTCTGGTTTGAATATTCTATGAATATTCTAGTAAAAAAATGATCAAGATATCAAGAACATAATATGCATATTGTTGCTGAAGTACCTCTAATATAGCTTTCTTGTATCCATTCACTCCAACCCTAAAACCAGAGTCTTTATGAAGGCATTCGCCCTTAAAACCTACAGCCCAAAGCGCTATCATATCAATGCAATCTTCCTTTGCCATGCCACAGCTCTGAGGAGTCGTTGTCGCGCTCGCTGCAAGGAAGTATATACATATTTTTGAGATTGATTATATATATATATATATATATATATATATATATATATATATATATATATATATATATATAGATAGATAGATAGATAGATAGATAGATAGATAGATATGAGTGAAAAATCACCAACCTGTGTCTTTACAGCCGTATAGAATCATGTGATGTAACACATCGGCATTGTCAATCAAAGGCTGTGAACCAATAAGATGGTAATCTCCATCTGTTAGGAGGTCAAAGGTCATGCAGTAATAATTTGTTTCCCTCGGGGGCACCATGGTACTTGGAAATTTCAATGTTTGGTTAATAGTATCTGAATATAGAGAAATATGTTACAGGAAAAATATAACAACACTTTTAAGTACGTTAACTTCATTGATTGAAGTTGTAAACTTTTTTCGGAAGATATATGCATTTCTTTATAATTATATAATATCACAAACCATCTTCCATGTCACACGTAAATTTTGGAGGGTTGTTACATTGCAGAAAATCGTTCTTTCCAGTGCATTTTGGGTCATCAAGAGGTTCACATACACCTGAAAAATATTGAAATGTACAACAGTTAGTTAATTTATGATGCATATGTCTATACTAGATTTCCATTCCCACTGCTTTTTCCACCTTAAAATGGGTATTGCATTTATCTTGCATCTTTACTATCCGATTATTTAATGTGTTTCGTCTAGGAGAGTACCCTGCAGTTTTTTTTATTATAAAAAGGTTCTTGAATAGGTTTTATTTCCAGTGTACTACGATGGGATACTTCCAGTATATTGATTTGAATGTACTGATAGCATCCAGTTTTAATAATAGCCTCTTTTTCACTTATTGCATTAACGTGATAATTCCTTTTTAATCAAAGAAATCAACATGATGCAAATCAATGAGAAATACTCCCGTCTTACCAGGATGGGACAGTCCAACGATATTTTTTGGTATTTTATTTGGTGTCCACTCGCAATCTGGATCTCCTAATTCTTGCCCATTGGTCTTACCATCTCCATCCGAATCCTTTTGACAAAGTGCAGAAGTCCATGTCTTGAGGACAAAAAGAGAGAGAGAGAGAAAAAAGATGTGTCACTTCTAAATTTGAACTGGCGGAAATATTTTTCTCTTTTTACATTTATAGCATAGAGTCGTCTACAGACGCTGCCAAAGGGATGACCACATTGAGAAAAAATCTGTCAATATTACTTCGTTGTAGCAAAAAAAAAAAAAAAAAAAAAAAAAAAAAAAAAAAAAAACAAACAAACAAACAAAAAAACCTATGTCATCTTTTCTAACAGGATGCATGAAATCAAATTAAAAGAAACTTCGCAATTTTCCAATTCATTTGAAAACATTGTGTTTGTGTGTGTCAAACTATGTTAGTCATCACTACTTCGCACTAGTCTTCGGGTCAACAACGCTGTGCCAATGATGCATGTATAATGTTTGCAGCAAGGTTATCGATGTTTCTCTGTAACTTTCATGTCTCAATATTATCACCAGATTATGGATTATTTGGCAGAAAAAAAGAATGCATAAGCTATAGAACTTAATCGTTTTAGTGTTCTAAAGTCTCATATATATATATATATACTAGGGATGGCAATTTGTAATCGGTTAACCGGTTACTCGGTCGGAACAATGGTAATCGGTTAGTCGGAGAAAATTATTATATGTGTAAATCTGAACACAATTTCATAGAAAAAATCAATTAAAAAGATACAAATAAAAATATCTGAACTGTTTTCATTTTCACCTTTCTATTTAAGTTGATTCGGAGATAATTAAGGCTCTCCAGATGGACACCGTGGGGGTAATTAGTCAGTTTTCGAGATGTTAATTGCTGTGTAAACACCATGTCGTTACCCATCCGTCTTGTGTTTCTTTAATGACTTTAATTAAATGATTGTTGAGTACTGCGAACTGATTATAATGTGTACCTTACCTTTTGTTCAACTATCCTTTGCACTTGTCAAATTGTATAATTAAACAAACATTGTAAATTAAGCGATAGCCAAGTTTTAGTTTTGATTATAGTGACAAATTGAATGCACGGCATCTCTTGTGAATTTTTTTATGTAACTGATACTTCAGGCATACCCGTTTTTTTTTTTGGGGGGGGGGGGGGGGGGGGGCCTTATCAAAATTGAAATTTTGTATAATGAAATAATGTAAAAAATCTGATACATTATAACATACCGGTATATTTATTTACTATATGTAACATTTTTATTGTCTTGTTTATGTAAATAATAGCTTACAATGAAGAAATTGTTTTGATACGATTAACCGATTAATCGGTCGGAACGTCTTGCGGTTAACCGATTGGCAATTCTGTACTCGATTGCCATCCCTAATATATATATACATATATATATTAAATTTCTCCTTTTGTTCCTTTTTTATTTAAACTATAGGACTTTCATATGTGAATTGTTGAATACATAATCAACTAATCCAATGCTTGTTTACCTAATAGTTTAGAGCTAATGTGGTCATCAAAATTCAACATAATTGAGGCCGAAAATTCCTTACATTTCTGAGATATTTTTAGTAAAAGTATTATCACATTGAAATTTTACCTTGCCTTCTCTGAAGAAGTCCAGTCCGAATGGATTTCTTTGGCCTCCTCCACCTTGTGCCTCGTGTCCAACACCTTCCCATATGGTTGTCGGATCACAAGGATGTGGTACTTTTCGACCATTTGGGATTTTATCTCGAAACGTACCATAACCATCAGCAGAGTTGGCAACCAACAAAACGACAAAGAAACTGAAAAAATATCAAAAAAAGCAAGAAGCTAAATATATTCATTGAATTTGAATTCAATGTTTAAAACATGTCTCATTTAGAAAATCAAAATATAAAGTTTTGATTCGGCCCTGATATTAGCCCGAGTTGTTTCAGCCCGAACCTGAATTGCCGATACCAGGGCCGAGATCGAAATTGCAACATCATATTATTTATATCATACACTGTATGCCTAAAACATAAAATAATACAGATATAAAATTTTTTTTATTCTGTTATTCTATTCTATATTCCTATTTGATATACGTACGTTGAGTTTGATTAATAAACCTTATTTTCTACTACGAAAAGTTAATACGTATTTAGTCAAAAGATATAATATAATTTATTGATGCATAGCATCAAATCGACCAAAAACTTTCCACGTGTTGTTCATGTCGCAGTTTTGCTTTACCGAATATCAATATTTCATTACCGAATTTTTTTCTTATCGATACCAAAAAGTATTAATATATCATTACCGAATACTTTATTTTTCACGTTCTGAAAAAATGCATAGAATTTTCTAAAATTATACGTTTATGCCAGGTTGTCTTTCTGGGTGCAGTAGCGAACTTTTTCTACCACACTTGAAGCCTCAACCCTCTTTTTGAATTTTTGGTAATGATGTCTAATATTCTTCCGGAAATGAAAGAAGATAATTTTCGGCAATTATATTCGACTAGTTTAAGACAATTTACGACAGTCCAATGCAGATGTTCATGTTACCATGGATCTATGTCACGTGATGGTGCCGATGATTTCTGCAGATGATGCTGCCATTGATGAACATCACAATAAATTTGAAGTGTGGAAAGAATTTCGGTGTGTCATTTGCCTCGGTATCATATTCAAAGCATAATTAATTCACTAATTTTTCTCTCATATTTTGGTAATATATTGTCCAGAAATTCGTAATATATAGAAAATATATAGAAAATATAACGTCAAGTATCTGTGATTTCGATAGAAAAAATGCTCGGCATGTGTTGCATTTTTTTCCTTTAGTCAAAAGTTTGGTAATTTTAGTGATAAATTAACGCATCTGAAACCTAGATCTCCAGTGACGAAGAGAAATTGAATTACTAAGTACAATTGTACCTAAATGCAGCAATCTCTACCTTTATAAGGGATAACAGAAAACCATTTAAAGATAATAAATTCATGCGTGAAGAGAACTTTAAAATGGAACAGGAGGTGGTCCTTCACCAATTTTCACTTATTTATCCTTCCATGCCACAAGAGGTTACTGGGGTATTTCGATAATTAATATTAAAAAAAATTGCCAATATTCTCCCACAATGCATATTATCTTGTAGTACACTGTTCATGCCAAAATCAATGGAAAGGTCATCAAAAAAGTCGTATTTTCATCTTGAATCTCAACATCAAAAATGCGCATAATAATTTACTACATCACCTTAAAACGTGTATTTATAAATTTTTTGTGAAGGACAACATTATAATAACGTTTACAAGTTTTAAAATATCTTTTAGGTCATATATTTCGAAATGAACACAAGTTCAATATTTGGCATGAAATACGAGACCAAATAGCTGTATGTCGTAATATTTATTGGAGGGGAAAATTTCGAAATAGGTTATTATATCAAGGTACGATGATATAGTTTACTACTTATTCCATAAAAAAGAAATCTGTTGTGAGAGGTGAACAACCTTTTGACATAATTATAGCTGACTGTTTCAGCAAAGCGCTAAATGTTTTATAGTTTTGTATTTAATAAAAATATAGTACTGATTTAATTTAAAAAAAAAAACACCAGCTGGCCAAGTGATCATCGTGGCTGACTTTTTGTTAGTCAAAACCATTCACTTTTTGTGTGCGAAAAAAAAAAAAACACGATGTAGAAGTAAAAACTACTTACCTTACGGTCCACATTTTATGTAACCGTTCTGTATTTGGGAGCCCTGTATTTGTACCCTGCTAAGGTTATATATTTTTCAGTTAGGATGCGGGTCAATGATTCTTTACAGAAAGGATTCAGTGATCTAGATCTTATTGCCAGGAAATTTTACTCAATATACAGCCTTACCACTGGCATTTGTTTACTATAAACTCAAAAAAATAAATAAATAAGTAACGCTGTAGTAAAATTATTTGAAACAGTGTATAAAGATATGCATTAAAAATCATAGAAAATGGATTATGTTTAAAAACAAATACAACTTCAAAATAAAAGATTCAACAAGTGTGTAAACTGGAGAAAATAACGACATGGACAACTCTTAAGACATTTTGAATGAAATTTTTATTCAGAATCAAAATATCTTGAAGTTAATGTTCGACAAATCAATTTTATAAACGAAATACATGTTCCTACAAATGTGTTAACGGTAGTTACATGCATTTACTAACAAGGTCGATGTGTGAAGGAATTGAAGTTGGAAAAGAGAGATTTCTCACTAGAAAAAAAATGAATTTTAAAACGTAGTTTCAAAGACACTGGAAAAGACAATCATTTCTAACACGCAATGAAACAAGAAGAAAAAAATTAAATTTTCTTTGCAAATTAATAATTTTACAAACAATCATTTGAAAGCATATTGACGAATATTACCACTGTGGATTTCATCACTAGAAAAAAAAAAACTTAGGATACCAAATTTTTTTTTACGTTGGTAAGTGTTCTGAATTTTCACAGTATATTAAACATGCTGGTAGGAATGTCATTGTTTGGTCTGTTCTGGATTCACAGCCATTTAAATCTCTCCACAAATAAAATGGGTTCTGATAATTATAGGGAATTCGTGACTATACACTTTTTTTCACGATAAAGGTCTTTAACGGTTCGTTTTCCCTTTTCAAAAGATGCTTTTTAAAGTAAGACATGCATTGAACCAATGATATTGGATATGGTTATATGATGTTACTTATTCGTTTGATTCAAAGGCTTTATTCCCGGTGTCTTCCCACTTAGCCAACATTTTGAGCAAAATACAGGTAAGCACAGGTATATCTGTGTTGGATAATTGGGAATGGGTTGCAGGTAGAGAACAAAAGAATTCAATTACTGGTAGGCTATAGTCTGTTTAAAGATAAAAGCTGAATAAAATCTTTTGTAGCATAGATATATTATGAATTAAATATTTTTGTGATATATTGAGTTCCTATTATAGTACAAAATTATCTTTTTTATAATTAAAAAATATTCCCTTATTATATTTAAACAAAGATATTTAGCCTTAAAAAATAAATTAAAGCTCAACTTTAATCAAGCCTAAAATATGTTTACTTTTCAAAGTTTTAATTGAAAAACACATAATACGCTGCACAGAGGTTGTATGTAGACAACGCTAGAAATCCACCGGGACTTGGTTATATTAAAAGGTCAATTTTGCTGAAAGCATAGAACACAAAATATATATTATGATGCATTGGTAAAATACAGGTTATTCCAGGTAAATCCCAGAGGGAGATCAGACTATAATTGCTACCAAAACATATTTCACTCCTATTGTTCTATACCTAATTATCAAATGTGTGCAAAACGGGAACACACCGAGAAACTTCTTTTCCTCCCATGCGTATATCGGTCTTTGAATTTCAATTCCTATCGTGTATTCACGGTGTATTCGCTTTTTGCACACATTTGATAATTAGGGATAGAACAAGAGGTGTGAAATGTGTTTTGATAACAATTATAGTCCGATCTCCGTATGAGAGTTACCTGGAATTAACTGGAATGGAATTGATAATTTAGACAATATCCTTATCGCAGCTCACCTGTTTTTTTTTTTTCATTAATATAAAATGAGTGAGAAAATGAATTCAATCTTAATTAATTAAAAAAAAAAAATAACTTGCCCATTTAGTATAGTATGAATATTATTAGTTTGGATTAGTATTTATGATTTTTTTTAATGTTTAATAACAGTTTTTTTTAATTATAAAATTAAAGAAATAAATCAAAATATCAAAAAAAAAAATTTTTTTTCGTCCTATTCTTCCGGTAGATAATCTTTCGCAAACTCTCAATTTTGATATAGACTATAGCAATTAAGTTATTATCTTACCTGAACAAATTCCCGTTTTGCACACATCTTTTTAATACCTGAAATTCAAATGTGTGCAAAACGGAAACAAACCGTATTCACAACCTTTTCTAAATATAACTTTTTTTCACATACGTGTATTTTAAAACTCACAACTCACATGAATTCATTGTGCATATGTTAAATTAGTAGTTCTTTTTATGTTGCAATATTGTATAATTTTTATTGTATTGTATAATTTTCCATTTGTATTGTATATTTTTGATTTGTATTGTATAATTCTTATTTGTATTCTATGATTTTCCATTTGTATTGTATAATTTTCAATTTGTTTTGTATAATTTCTCATTTGTATTGTATAATTTTCCTTTTGTATTGTATACTTTTCCATTTGTATTGTAAAATTTTACAATGCAAATGGAAAATTAAACAATACAAATGAAAAATTATACAATACAAATGGAAATACAATACAAATAAACATTATACAGTACAAATGGAAAATTTTACAATTAATGCAAATGGACGATTATAAAATATAAATGAAATATTATACAATACAAATGGAAAAGATATACTATTGCAACGTTTGACATGCCATAGTGTTTTACCAGTGCACTGCGATCATAAATGATAAAAAAATAGGTGGGAAATCTTGTCAATCAACAGCAAACCGTTATGCATATTTCATATTAATTTTCCACATTTATTGTTCTAAGTATTGAAATATTTATCTAACAGTAGGTCAGTGGACCTAGACGATCATTGAATACGAGTTTTTCAGGTTATCATCTAACTAACTCAGTCCTCCTATGACTGACACTCTAAACTCCTGAGTACATAATCTTATCATTTTGTGAAAACTTAATGTTAAATTATGTCCATTTTTACATTGCATGAAGCTAGTCTCCTAGATGCTCAGGAGTAAAGATTTGAAATTACACGGCATTTTAAATATATGATCAATTTCCCTATATTCTGGGTCTGAGTCCCTCGGACATGAATTGTATAATTTGGTAAAGAATTAATGATTACATGTCGTCGTGCATAAAGATTGATCATTAAATGCTCAGGAATAAGTATATTTATAAGAGATTTTCAATATATGACCAACTAATTTGCACCCTGGAGCTTGAAGTTAGGGACAAGAATTTCAGTATTTTATTAGAAGGCTACTTACTGACTTATCATAATCAAGTAAATAGTTAGCCAGCTAGACACAATTGAGCAAAGGGGAAGAATTATAACAAGAGGCTATTGGGCCCACAACGCTCACCTGAGTATTTATGGCCCTTCTGTTCTTCATCATCAGATTCTTTTTCCGACATATTCTTATGTAAAACTTTGATCACATATTATGACCCCACCCTAGGGGGATTTAAACAAACTTCAATGTGCTTCCATATTAATATGACTAATCATGGATTTGTTGTTCTTGAGAAGAAGACCGTTAAAGATTTTGCCTATGTATTCCTATGTAATACTTTTATGAACCCGCCCTACTCCTGTGGGGTCGTGATTTGAACAAATTTGAATCTACGCTACCTGCAGATGCTTCATATAAATATGACTAATCATGGCTTTGTTCCTGGGTAAACGATTTTTAAAAACTTCTCCTATATATTCCTATGTTAAACTTTGATCCCCTATTTCTGCCACACCCTACATCCTGGGGTCATGATTTGAACAAATTTCAATCAGCACTACCCGAGGATGTAAATATATATAAATACAGTGTATGACTGAAGATATTTAAAATATTTCCCATATGTTCTCATTTAAAACTTTGACCCCTGTTGTGGCCCCGCCCTACCCCTGGAGGTCATGATTTGAAGAAACTTGAATCTACACTACCTAAGGATGCTTCTATATTAATATGACTAATAATGACTAAGCTGTTCTTGAGAAGGTGATTTCTAAAGATATTTCCTAAATATTATGATGAAAATTTTTGACCCCCTGTCGTGGCCACGCCTACCCCTGGTGGTCAAGATATGAACAAATGTATATCTACTGTATGTAATGAAGCTTTCACATTAATTTCAACTTTTCTGACCAAGTAGTTTTTTCAAAGATACCACCAAATTTTCAGTAATTCTTAATTATCTAACCTTGAAAGAGGGCATGGCCCTTCTTGTGAAGAAACTTAAATCCCCTTCACCCAAGGATGCTTTGTGGCAAGTTGATATTGGTGCAGTGGTTCTTGAGAAGAAGTTGAAAATGTGAAAAGTTTACAGACAGACGCTGGACACCCTTCGATCAGAAAAGCTTACTTGATCTTGATCCTTTGGCTCAGGTGAGCTTAAAAATAGAATGTTTTTCGATATACTGTAAAATCACAAATTTCGTGGGGGTTTAATTTTCGCTGTTTTCATAGTATAAAGAGACCCACGAATTCATATCCCCCACGAAATGTGAAAATTACATAGTGTTTTATAATGTTTCTCCTTTAATCACATAATCAAATCCCCTTGAACCAGTAATTTCTCCTCAAACCATGAAATTTGAACCCACGAAATTAAGTGATTTTACAGTAGAAAATAATTTTTGTTTTATCCTGGAGCACTTATCCCTGGGGTCAAAGTTCATTATAATCATGCAAAGTTTGTTTGCTAAATAGCTTAACCTATCCCCAATCATTGAACCTGAAAACTTGATAACATGAAATGAATTTCAAAGTTTTGATAGTTGTTCATGACATCATAATTATGCAAATATTACTTAATACAAAAAAAAAATTAAAAAAAAATAAATTGTGTTTTACAATCAAATGTTTTGTACAAGCGTAAATATACTTTATTACCAGGAAATTACATATCTGTTCATACCTAAATGTTAAACATTTCTATGGCGTCATTGTTGAATTCTAAGAGAGGCCAATATTTAAGCATTTAATATTTTGACATTAGAATGATTAAAAAGATGTTTTTGGCCATTTCACTATAACATGTATGTTTCAAATTAATTTTCACTAATATTTGGGAATATTTTTTTTAATTTACATTGTACAATAATTATTTGAATCTATAACTTAAACGATGGATAAAACTAGTTTCACACGAATAATACATGAATTCGGCATTAATAATACACACCGGTAAATGCTAATCATGTTTGGCAAGATAGAAAACCACAAAAATCACCGCAAGGATCAAAAGTGATTCATCAAAAGTGTTGATTGTTGAGGAAGATGTTGAGTGATTATCCGAGAGAAAGCTTATTCCTCGATCAAATTCATATTCACCAAAACATTTTAATTTCAGTTTTTGGAACAAACCACCTGATTGATCATCGAAACGAGCTTCACAGTCATGACTAAAAATCAAGGACAACCTGCCAGCAAAGTTCATACGAAATGTCGAATTCTCAAAAAACAAAAGAGTCAAATTTCCCTCGCCAATAGAATTGACTTTAAAGAGAAGCTCTTTGCTTAAAGAATTATCACCAATCACAACATCACCATAGACACGATGCCCATAATTTCCTAGACATGGGGTAACATCATAATCGTCCGTCGAAATGCTGTCCTCGGTTTCATTCTTGGATTCTTGCTTTTCTTCCCAGGGTTCAGGAAATGAGCAAACCGTGGAGCTGTTTAACCACGGCTCTTCTTGAAGAAGGATATCTGATAGTATATATGACAACGGTTCTAAATCCGTTTTGAATTTTACTGGCCAGGGACCATTCGCTGTCATGAAGAAACCACTATTAGCTTGTGGGTATAGGGATGCGATTGTAGAATAAGCATGGAGGGATCCCGTATGAAATAAAGACCTATGTCCTATAAGCAAAGGAGTCTAGCATAAAGATTTGAATACCACGATATTTTTTTTTGTTTTAAACAATCATTCATTTTAAAATCCAGATATATAATTTACCTCTATAATATCTCCCGAACCAGGCATAACCATACCAGGAAGCAATTGAATGCACTGGATAAGGATTTGTTAAACTGTAACGATCCATGCGTGCCTCTGTAATTGATATATGAGGTTTAAACATTTCTTCGAACACTTCCTTTTCAATAAGGGTGAGACCATCTGCAGATGTACCATTTCCTAACAAAAACGACAGCCATTTTGACAAGTCTCGTGGTGAGGAGCAAAGGCCACCCGCTGGGGAAAGGTCCCGTAGTCTACAAATAAATCCGAAGAGAAAACTATGTTTAACAAGGAGAATTTATTCTATAGCTGCAAGAGGAAGTCATGCATTTGAGTAATTACTACACTAATATCACTATTTTTGTTACGTTTCATATAGAAAATAGTGTTTTAATGAAAGTTCATAAATATACATACCTATACAGAAGAAAGTCTTCATCTTTGAAACTTAGTGTTTTATTTACTAAAAAGTAAGGATATGCGAAATGTTCATCTCTTGAAGACACATCATCTAGAAAAATAGAAGCATTCATGCCAAGTGGATCCCATATTTTCTCCTTGATTAATGTCTCAAATGATTTCCCGCCAATTACTTCTGCCACGTGACCTGCCATCATGTACATAAAGTTGTTGTAACTCATCTCGTCTCGAAATTTTTGCATCTGAGGTAAATATTTTAAACGACTGGAATTTAACAGAAAAAAAAAATAAGTGCAAGCACAAACTATGAATGAAACAAAAGTATTTACTGTTTGAATACATGTATATCTCTAAGTAACATTTTTTTTTATAAATCAATGTAAATAATTTAATGTAAAATTTATATTGGTTATTCTGTAAAGAAATTATGTTAAATAATATTTTTGTCGCTATATGCAGAGAAGTTGATGATCAGAGGTTGTCTTGACCTGGAATCAAGGTCTGTTGTACGAGGGTCATTCACAAATTACGTGGAAAATGTCGCTCTTCGTTGAAATATTTTTAAGAAATCTAAATTCAACAAATTACCGGTATCATATGTAAAACATTTATTTTGTTGATGTGTGCAATTTCATTTTTTAATCAAATGGGACTCATGTTACATTATTTAAAAATCAACATGTTTTAGCACTACGGATCACTCTTATCAACGTGACGTCAAAAACATAACGCATAACAGTTTCTCATTTCACACTCAGTCTGTGGTGGCGCCTTACCCATTTATGTTTTTTGTATTTTTTTTTTAAAATTCTATACCAATTTACACTTAGTTTGCTAACAATTATTCCATTATCGAGACAATTGTCAATGTCTTCATTTTTTTTACCGCATTTCTCTTCGCTCTCAAGTCCAGCAACTGTGAATCACACATTTCTTCCCATGACGTTACTAACGGTTTTGACCAGATAATTTCTATGGAGGCCGTTCATCGTCCAATACAGAGTCTCTTAAACTAATTAAAATCCTGTGACATTAATACACACTTGCACGGCTAACTTTTGATATATTTTCTGCTTCTCCCAGCTTTTTCTGAGTTTGTTATGAAAATTTCTCGAGTGCAACACAAAATTGTATTACTACTCGCTGCTCCATTACGACATCTTCTTGTAAAATACACTTTTCAATGAGGACTACTTGTCTTTCATGATTGATTTCTATTCAGCTGAAGAATATTTAACATCTCAATTTGGCATATGAAATAACGTAACCATACTCAATATGAATTTTTGATTTCATTTTGTTTAATGCCATTTTAATTTTTATTTTTCTTAAATAACCCATGTGATTGTCACAAGGAAAGCTTATGATAAGAACGTGTAAACTTATATTAAAGGTAAAAACCTTGTCCATGAGAATAGTTGTGGCAAAATATTATTAAAAACTCGACTGATTTTAAATTGTTTATTGTTAAACTCCCACTTCAAAATATACTCGTCTACACATACATTTTGCCGAGGGTCCAGACGGACACATTGTTGTTGGCTTTTTTAAAAAAAAATTGTTTTTGTTTTGTTTATTTTTCAGCAAATTGCCGAGTTCTTTATGCATGTGAGAGGAATGCCTCTGTTTTCAATTTCCCTCTTGTTGACTTTTTCTCCTCGGATTTCAAGAAAATAAGCCTTTCGTAACGGTATAAGGGAACTGTGCTAGTATTGGAACACATTTCTGTGTCAAACTCTTAGGCCTGCATGTACCGGTGGATTACCTCTTCACGGATTGATTCCATGGTTTAGAGCCCTGCAGAACTGTCGTCTTCTTACATTTCCAGCGGGTTGATACACATCAGGTAGCGGTTTGGAAAATCAGAATTTAAAGCTTATATTGCTCCGTGGCTATTTTTGTAGTGTTAGTTTCCTGTATTTGCAAGCAATCTGAAAAGTGGTTTAGGTCCAAACACTGACTTTAAATAAAGTGTGGTTTAGGTCCAAACACTGACTTTAAATAAAGTGCAAGTGTGACCAAAACTGACTAAGCATCCATTCCACATTGAAAGCACCTGTAAATCCAATGTCATGAACACATACTTCGACCTTGCCGACCAGATGAAATTCATTCAAAATGTCTTGAAAATTTGAGTGTAAGTTCGAATACACAGAACATTGCACTCTATTTCAATCATCTGTTTTATTATGTTCTGTAAAAGTCCATGAGTTAATATAGTGTTAATAGTGATAGCCACTGAATCTTTTAAAATCTGTAGCTCACTTTTTCTTTGATCGAACTTGATCATATCGAATTCTATAACTTTAGGTAGCAGTCCAAAGAATTCCTTAAAGCCTTTAGGTCTGAACTTAGGCGTTTTGCGAAAGAAATAACGAGAATATTTCGACCAGTTTGCAAACGTCGGCCTTTGATATGATATAGTAAATTTGTCTTTCCAGCCTAGAATGCCAGCTCAGCTTCACATAGCGTACATTTTAATGTTTCCATCGTGAGATCTTTTAAATTATAAGCTAAAAAGGAATTTATGACGAAATTTGACATGCAATTGAGTTCCTTTCAACAATAAAACAAGATCGTTTCAGCTTAACCTTAGCTGATTTTTTTACTCATGAAAACACTTGTGTGTTTAGAAATAAATAAGGCGAATCGAAAATGTGATAACTTGATTAAAAAGAGTAATCGAGTGAAAAAAGGTGATCATTGGTATGACAGAGCGATAGTAGAGTAATCGAAAACTCGATGAAATCCCTGTTTTTTCCAAAAATACTTTTTAGTTTGTCTGTGCTCAACAGAAAGCATAACTGAAGAGAAGAAAATTAGTCCGACTTACAACTGCACCAATGTTAGGGGCAGAAGTTTTTTACAACAAAATCTTGTTTTAAGATAACCTATGCTAATTTTAAACCTTAATGTATACCGGTACTTTGAAATTTAATACCATGATGACATTTATTTATTTTGTTACAAAAGAATAATTTAATTCTGGTTGTAACGCAATATTTGATTGGATAAAAAATTTACTTTATATTGTATAAATCGGGTTGTCTACGTCACAATGACTTGCGTCAAAAACGTATCAATCTGCCTGACGTTACATTCAAAATATTGTACAAAATGAAGTCATTTTTTGAGGACAATCATTATAATTTTTCTTACATTAAATGAATGAAAATTAAATTATAAGTATACCGTATAAAAAGGGAAGCTATTAAATTCATTTCTTAAATATTTCATTTAAGTAGACTTTGTATGCTGAACCTGACATAAGCGGCCCTGGTGATATTTGGAGTCACTGTAATCAAGGGAAAGTCCGTGCTCTGCGCTCCTGTCCGATGGGTCAAGAGGTCTTTAATGGTCATCTCAATTGTAACACAATCTGTACTCATCTGAAACTCGGGTCCTAGTATGTCTCCTACCTTAGATTCCCATCCAAGGCTATTTGTCCGTCAAAAAAAAAACAAAAAAAACAAAAAAAAAACAAGAAACAGTGATTTTGAGGACCAAAACTAATAAATTTATGTAGACATTCAGAAAATGTTCAAAGCGTCTGTGCTATAGCTAGTATCTTTTATTAGATTTATTAACCTTTCCCCTTTCTTCTTGGATTCAGTGATGAGGATACCAAGGAGAGCCGCTGTAAAAGCCTTTCCTGTAGATCCTATGTTTGATACTGTGAACTCATCAAAAGGCACGGGCGGATCTAGTTTGGCGTGGCCATATCCTTTGTAGAAAACACTTCCATTTCTAATTAGAGATATCCCGAGTCCTATTTAAAAGAATTAAAAGTACCACCTGTAGATTTCCGTCCATTTTAGATAATGAAAGTATGGTTTAGTTTTAAAAGATATTTTAAATCCAAATCAAAATTCTGATTATTTATTACTAGTATGTTTACTTATTTTTTTTTTTAAATGCAAAGAACAGATGAAAAATTTCTTTTTGAAAATCAACATAATTGTAAGTATTACTCATAGTTAAAGAAAATTCAATTTGTCTTTTGACCTACATTTGGTTAACCCTTCGCCTACCTGGTATAGTCTTACATGTTATCAGTGAATCAACGGTATTGTCAATAAGTTGTATTTCCTCATCTGTAAAGTGTTGACTGCATACCGAGATGATTTGGGTCCAAATTAGGAAGAATATCCCAAAGAAAATCATATTTACGAATATGTTAATCATAGATTCACTAATTCACTGACATCGTTGCGCTGGAAAGTGTGATTTAGATCCTTAATTGTGTCACACATGCTTCAGCATACAAATGAATTCTAAATGACAATGTTTCAATGAAAATGGTGTTTTCTTTCAAAATACCTGAATGATTACATTACGAGGTAGATAAAGGTGTCCTATTTCCATTTACTACCATAAAATGCTGAGTAATAAACAATTGCCCATATCATTCCAGTGTTGGGAATATCGCTGATGAAGGTTTTTTCAAGTGACTATAAAGGTATTCGAAAGCCCTGTAAATAATTTATGATCTAATCTTGTCGAGAAATAAGTACCCTCTTTCGGCAGTGTTCAAACAGACATTTTGTCATTACTTGGACTGAAACGTACCACATTATGAAATCTCTAGATACACAACTGTCGACTTTTTCCTTAATGAGAAGGATATATTATGCAGACTTGTGTTACCTTCGTAAATGAAAGTTTGACACATTTTAAGTCTGTTTTTTTTATTTTAATGAAAATCAATCACAGAAGATTTAAAATATACTTTACATATGTATTATCTTAAACATGGCATCAAGTATCATTTCATAAAAAGTTACGTTTGTTGCCTCATTTTCTTACGGGGTAAATTCATTCCTATGCATATACAATATAAAGTAAGGGCAAATGGAAAACTGGCAAGAGGTAATTCTAAGACATGTTATCGTTAGATAATGGTTAAAAAAAATTAATGTTTATTTTACCATGCTGTATGACTCTCTTCAAAGTTCCTGAGTATTTTTCGACTTTCCTCATCGCTCTATTAAAAGTAATTAAACCGCATGGATTCTGAGATTAGATTTTAAATGTAAATAGATAACACTTTTATAACGTTACTGATTAATATGACAGAATAGGAAATATTTTATATAGTAACAGTAACTGTGTTGTTTTGGCAATTTTAAACCATTCCAGAGTTTCATCACATTTTTTGTTTCAGTTTATGTAGTTGACGTATTCTATTTTTGTCCACACTTCAGTCTCTACTTAATTCGGCCTTTCATTTTTAGAATCTTCACCTCAATAACATTATATACTAGTAGTTCATCACAAATCCGTCTCAACAAAGAACCAGCAAAGGCATATTGAAGAAGAGTCTAACACAATTTACTTCGTTTTTCCTTGTAAGAAGTATTTGAATTCAAAGTTGTTCACAAAGTCTGTTTAGTGATTACATAAGAACATTTTACAAAGTGCTGCAAGAAGGGATTAACAATTAAAATATACCGTGGAAATTTTTGAATTCGTGGAGATCAATGTTTGTGGGCAACCAAAATTTCAGTGGTTCGTTGGGACGTAATTTTGTGGGTAATTCGTCGATGCGGACGATGCTTTGTCTTTCGTAGGGTAAATTCTTGGGTAAGATGACCTACAAACGGTCCCCCACAAACAATGAGGATTTTACAGTATCGGCTTGGGTAAAACACACGATTGTGTGGAAAAGATATTAGATGCCCTCTATACACTAATGAAAAATTATTTCGAAAAAGTTGAATCACTTTAAGGTGAAAACATCGAGTTTATCTATAAAATTAGTTTTCAACCTAAGATCCCTGCAATTTATCTATTGATGAAAAGACACTGTTGATTACTAGTACTTGAAAGAAAAAAAATACATGCTAATAAAGTGCTCAATTAATTTATCTAAATGCATAAAATACTACAGATCTTTCCTGTACAGTGTATAGATGGTTCTTAAGTCATGCGATTTCAAGGTGACTTACTGACAACAGTGCCCAACAATCAATGGTCGATTTTGGGGTGATTGTTGGTCAGTTACGTTACAAGGAAGGCTATTAACCTGTGTCATAACGAAGAAATATGGTTATTTTTTTAAAACAATGATAAATTAATTTTCCACAGCATCAGTAATGCAAACCGGTAAAAGTTATCTCTGTTTGGTAAAGATGGAAAATATATAAATCACTGAAACAGTCATAAGCGATTTTGTAAAGGCGTTGATTTTTGCGGAAGAGGCTGAGTTATTCTCCGAGAGAGAGCTAATTCCTCGATCATATTCAAATTCGCCGAGACATTTCAATTTCAGTTTTTGGAACAAACCACCTGACTGAGCAACGAAACGAGCTTCACATCCACTACCAAAAATTAACGGAAATCTTCCAGCAAAGTTCATACGAAATGTCGAGTTTTCAGAAAACAAGAGAATTAAATTCCCTTCTCCAACTGTATTGACTTTAAATTGAAGCTCTTTACTGGAGATATTATTACTAATCACAACATCTCCATAGATACGATGTCCATAACTTCCTAAACATGGGGTAACGTCATAATCATCTGTCGAAATGTTAGCCTCAGCTGAGATTTTTGATTTTGGCTTTTCCACCCAGGGTTCAGGAAATGAGCAAACCGTGGAGCTGTTTAACCATGGCATTTCTTGAAGAAGGATATCTGATAGCATATATGACAACGGTTCTAAATCTGTTCTGAAATTTACTGGCCAGGGACCATTCGTTGTCATGAAGAAACCACTGCTAGCTTGCGGGTAGAGAGAGGCCAATGAGGAATAGGCATGAAAGGATCCCGTATGGAATAAAGATTTATGACCTGTAAGTAAATCATCCTCGTGTAAAGAATTAAATAGCACGATTTTTACTTATGTCATAAAATCAATAACTTACAAATCAAGACCCACTGTACTTAGTATAGTATATTTTTACCTCTATAATATCTTCCGAACCAAGCATAACCATACCAAAAAGGTATTGAACGCACTGGATACGGGGTTGTTAAAGTGAAACGACCCATGACTGGCAGGCCTAATGGTATGTGAGGGTCAAACATTTCTTCGAATACTTTTTTGTCAATGAGGGTAAGACCATTTTCAGATGTGCCATTTCCCAACAGAAACAACAGCCACTTTGACAAGTCTCGAGGTGAGGAGCAAAGGCCAACCGTTGGGTATAAGTCATGTAATCTAAAAATAAAAATACTTGTTCAATAAAATATGCCTTAAAGATATGTGGGTTTTTTTAAAGTAAATGCTACTGTTTATTACATTTCAAACATAAATAGCAATATTTCCATATCATTTCATGTATGCATACCTAAATCTTTATACATACCCATTTATAACTAATATGTAATAGCTATACTTACATACAGATACCTATATACATACCTATACAGAAGAAAATCACCATTATTGAAACTTAATGTTCCGTTCAATAAAAAGTACGGAAATGCAAAATGTTCATTTCTCCAAGACGCATCATCCATAAAAATAGAAGCATTCATGCCAAGCGGATCAAATATTTTCTCCTTGATCAACGCCTCAAATGATTTCCCGCCAATTACTTCTGCAACGTGACCTGCTATCACGTACATTAAATTGTTGTAGCTCCATTCGTCTCGAAAAATTTTCGTCAGAGGTAAATATTTTAAACGGCTGGAATTTACAAAACATCTTTAGATGCAAACACATACCAGTATACTACCAGTGAAATTTCTGTTCATTAATCATTAGTTATGTAATTTTTAAATTAATTTCTATTACTTTTGTAAGAAATTGTGCTAACTTGTATTAATATCATTTGCAGAGCGTATCAGAGGGTACCGTTGCATTGACAAGATCATAGAGGTTGGAATTAAGAACGTATTTAAAGACAGAATTGTGTAATCGCTATATAGAAGGACGATCCAACACTGTTTAGACGTTAAAATAATTTACTGAATTAACACTCTGATCTTTACTGAAGAAGTTGTAGAAAAAGATTTCATCAATTAATATGTGTACGTATGCAGTAGGGAACTGTTTATGTTCTATACCTGACGTAGGCAGCCCTTGTGATATTTGGAAGAGCTGTAACCAAGGCGAAGTCCACGTTTTGCGCACCTGTCCGATGGGTCAAGAGGTCTTTAATAGTCATCTCAGATGTAACACAATCTGTACTCATCTGAAACTCGGGTCCTAGTATGTCTCCTACTTTAGATTGCCATCCAAGGCTATTTGTCAAGATTTAGAATAAAAAACGAAGAAATTTTGAGGCCAAAAAATTGAAATGCATAAATAAAAAAAGTAATATATAAATCGAAGGATATTTTGAGATATTATGCAAAGTACAAGTTAGTATTTATATTAGATCCGCTTACCTTCCCCCTTTTCTTCTGGATTCTGTGATCAAGATACCGAGTAGAGCCGCTGTAAAGGCCTTCACTGTAGATGCTATGTTTGAAACTGTGAACTCGTCAAAGCTCACTGGCGGATCCAGTTTGGCGTTTCCGTAACCTTTGGACCAAATATTTCCATTTCTCACCAGAGATATTCCGAGTCCTGTTAAAAGGAATTAAAAGTTTTGCTACGCTTGGGTTTTTATATACACAATACATGTATATTCAATTTTAGACATGATTAAATAATAAATATAGATCTATTTTAATTTTAATTGATGCTCATATAAAAAAAAATTAACAGCATAAATAGATTTTTGTCTAGTTTTCAAATTCAGGTATAACAAATAAATAAATATATAATTATAAGTATATAATTAAAATAAATAACTTAATTACTGTTCTATAAAAATCAGTATCTTTTTTGCTGTCTGACTCTCCACGTCTGTTCCATATTTGTTTATTTTACTGACTATAGATGATATGGGCCAACTAACAGCTAAATTGTATGACAAACGAGATGACTTCAGCTTTTCTTTCGTCGACTTTCCTTATTTATACAGTAATATTCCGCTATTACCTGCATATGGTTTTTACGTCTCCCAACTTATTCGATACTCAAGACCATGCTCTGAGTTCAACCAATATTTAAACCGGTCAGGCTACTAACATTTAAGTTGATATTACAGGGATTTCAACAACCTTGTTTAAAGTCAGTTTTTCGCAAATTCGATGGTCGTTATAATGACCTTGTTAGCAATTATAACTTATCATTGGATCCTATTTTGGCTGACATGTTCCCTACCAATTGTTAGGCCTTTGTTTTTGCACTATTTGACTACGGAATGTTCCGTCTACCTGATCATTACATAGGGCTCAGGGCGGGTGTGACCGGTGAACAGGGGATGCTTACTCTTCCTAGGCACCAGATCCCACCTCTGGAATTTCCAGGAGTTCGTGTTTTATGCCCTGTTCACAGATTCGTTTTGTTTGTAGATTTTTTTTTTTTTTAGATCGATCAGTGTTCATAGTTTCACCTTTTTCATTCTCTTGAATTCAAGGCGGCAAAGAGTATGTTACAGGGATAGAAGTTTTTGTGCCACTGCAGTAAGATAAGAATCTTCAATTCCAATATCACCTTTATTGCTCTTTGGATCAGAAACCTCGTGAACAACAAAAGCCTCAAATATTCTTTAACAATTTAATTTGAAAATATGAAAATAATTGATTTCTTTTTTCTTTGATTATCCAGAAATAAAAAGTTAAAATAATAAATATTCCATTTCTGTTTAAGCACCTTATCATCACTTATCACTGTTCTTTGTCTTTATCTTTGCGAGTGTTTTAAAAATAAGAATACCGAATTTTAGCTCTGTTGGTTTTATTTTTTCTAATATATTTTTACAGTAATTTTGACCCCCCCTCTCTCTCTCTCTCTCGGAAAAAAATTATATGTATCTTTCAATCAATGACATTTAAATTTCTGATGTCCAATATTTTGTTAATTAACCCTACACATACATGGTATATTTTTACATTCTCTCAGCGCTGCAACAGTATCATCAATGATACGTATTTCTTCATCTGTGAAGTTTTGACCATATGCTGTGATAAATTGGATACAAATTACGAAAAGTTTCCAATTCACAATCATATTTCAAAATGTGTGTAATGTATTGCAGCTTAAATGCCGACGTTGTGTTTAACAGTGTATTGGATGTAAAGATCCTCCATTGTGTCACATACATTAATACAGTTTACTATTTCCGGGTGATGGTATTTCAGTGAGATTTGTTTAGGCTACAGTATGTGTTATGTTCTATCATAAAATTTGTATTAAACAATTGTTCATAAGTTCATAAACAAAAGTTTTGTACAAGAGACTATGAAGGTGTAAGAAAGTACGAATCGATCAAAATTTGTAAAGAATCCGTGCACTGCTCAAGCAGAGCCGACGCATTGCAACCACAGGATTCAATCTGAAGCTACAGATAAGTCAACATTTCTCATTCTGAAAGTATTCATTATGCAAACATTTGTCACCTTCTTAATTAAATTTTGCCACACTATGACTTTATTAAAATAATACTCTTTTAAAAATGACTGTATCTTCACGGCCAGGAACATGTTAAGTTCCTAGACAGTACCGTTGTCGGAAACCTTTAAAGTTAAGCACTGAAACTGATTCGTTGTCATGAACATACAGGTGAGGTTATGATAAAATCCGTCCGGTGTCATGCAAAAGATACAAGAATTTACACAAGATGCCTAAATTTTAACGTTTTTGACAAATTCCAAGAATAAATTTGAATTTTGGGAAACAGATACAACATTCAGTATTCCATACAAATATTTATGTATTTGATATCCACAATACATTTTGAGGAGTTTTGGTTGGCGATCACATGCCCATGTGTGAAGCCATGATCGTGAGCTGGAAAATTATATATTTCTTATATTTAATTCATGGAAATGGTTCTTTTATTTTAAAATATGAAGAGAAACTTCATTTTCAATGTATTAGGCAACTGACAGCCTTTTGTAGCTAACATGTTATAAGAAATAGCAATTTATAAGCAAAAAGTCCGTTGTTAGTACATGTTAAGTTTATCTGGTCCGGTGTCATTTTTCTTAACATGTAAGTAAATCAATAAAAAGCAACAGAAATGATCAAATATATGCTTAATTTAAAAGAATACAAAGCATATTACAAATATATTTGAATCTCGGGGTCGTCTTAAAGCAGCTCACACTAACGTGCAAACTATTCTGCGATGTTTTTATTTTCAATTCATTTTCTCTTAGGAACCTGCATCCTAGCTAGTATGCAAACATATACAATTCCCTCTATTACTATATAATCAATATAACAAAATTAAAATGTTATGCTTAGGTCACATTTAAGCCGATGGTCGGGCGACCAAATTATTTTTGTATCGTCGGCTAAAAAACATGATCTGGCGACGCAGAGTAGTCATATTAATTCCCAGGAACACCGATACCTTTAAAAGTAAAAATATTTATAAGTTGGTCAACCGTCACCAGATCATCGTTCGCTAGGCCGCAGTTTGATTTTCATCTTCGGCCGACAGTTGTACGAAAACCCAATTCCTAAATGTCGACCGACTGACGACCGACTTTAAAAACTGTATGCCGATGGTCGGCCTATGATCGAAGGTTGGTGGACGGACTATTCAATCAATGAGTGCTTCAATTGAATGGGCCACAGACGCAAAAAAAATAATAACTTGAACCGACTGACAAGCATAAAATTGGTCGCCCGACGAAAAAAAAGAGATAAAATTCGGGCAAGACAACGGCCAATAATATGAAACTTATGTGGAAGCATCCTCAGGTAATCCCCCCCCCCCTTTAATATTTTTAACTTTTAACTTTTGAATACCTAACTGATTTGTGCTATTTCCGAACCAAAGTGCTCAGGTGAGCGATGTGGCCCATGGGCCTCTTGTTTTTGGCGTATTTGTGAATGTAATTGGTGTGTAAATCACATTGACGTATCTCGTATGCTATTTCATGCAGCGTGATTGTGACGGTACATTTTGTCGTCCTGTTCATATTGTCGCCGGCGACAATGTGTACATACACTCACTGAGCATATTGTCGTCCATCAGTACATGTCGCATGACAATGCATGGCAATGTTTCCATATAGATATGACTAATCATTGCTTTGCCGTTGTTGAGAAGAAAAAGTTTAAAGAATTTTCCTATATATTCCTGTGTAAAACTTTGATCGCCCTTAAAAATGTGGCCCCAACCTAGGCCTGGGGTCATGATTAAAAGAAACTTGAATCTACACTACCTGAGGATGCTTCCATATAAACGAGCGGCCTACTTCTTTTCTCAATATTTGATCCAAAAATTTCAGAACGGGGAAAGGGGAGGTGTGGTTCAAATTTTTTTTTTTGACAAACAAAAATTTTTTTTTTTTTTTTTTTTTTTTTTTGACAAACAAAAAAAAAATCGTTTGTGTGTGAAGGAGTGTTACTGTATAAGTTAAATATATTTTATCATGAAATTTTACCTGTGGACAAAATTGAGAGTATATACAGGTTAAAAAAACAGAATTTACAAAAGCAAAGAAAAATGAAAAAAATCAAACGGAGGGGGCAGGGTGGGATAGGGATGGGGGAGGGGGTGGGGTACGCCGGTGCTAGATCCGCCTTTGGTTCTTGAGAAGATTTTTAAAGAGTTTTTGTACACCGTAGATTCTAACGGAAAACTTTTATCACCAATTGTGGTCCCACCATACCTATGGGGGTCATGATTTGAACAAAATTGTTTTTGTTTTTGTTTGTTTGTTTGTTGTTTTAATATTCCTAAAGAGAATTTTTCACTCATAAGGAGACATCACCACTTGCCGGTGGAGGGCCAAAAATTTAGATCTATTCTCGGAACTCAGGGCCATTGAAAAGTGTGGGATCTGATCTTTTTCGTGCCAGAATCTAAAAAAGTAAAAGTACACTTCAAGTATGTACTTTCACGTAAGTATCATCTCTTCTGATCCAGAAGTTCTTGAGAAGAAAATTTTGAAAGAATTATTCTTAAATATTGTATTAAAACTTTGATCGCCTATTGTAGCCCCACCCTTTCCCAAACATGATCTGAATAAAAATGATTCTACACTTTATAATAAAGCTTTCACATAAGTTTTAACTTTTCTGACACAATGGTTCTTGAGAAGATTATTTAAAGATGTCACTAAATTTTCACTAATTCTTAACTATACACGTACTTTCTCGAAAGAGGGCATGACCATTTGATTCCCTTTATCCACGTTTGCTTTCTGGCAATTAACTTTGGTTGAAATTGAAATTGGCCAGTAGTTCCTGAGAAGAAGCTGATAATGTGAAAAGTTTACAGACAGACAGACGGACGACACAAGAAATGTGATCAGAAAAGCTCACTAGAGCTCACTAGAGCTGTCAGCTCAGGTGAGCTAAAAATATGTCAACCCCTATACCAATTATATCGGCACTCGTATGAGAATTAAGCAAAAAAATGAATTCCAGATAACATTTCTACTGAACAAATAACTTTCAATC